CCTGCAAAGCATATCCTTGGCCCTTCTCCATATGGGGTCTCACCAAGTTGCCCAGGCCAGCCTCAGACATGAGATCTTTCTGCTTCAGCCTCTAGAGCAGCTGAGATTGTGGTTTTATAGGCATCTGCCACTGTACCTGGTGACAAATATTTTTCTACGTATTCTATAATGAAACCTTCTATTAACCCTAAGATGGAAGTGCTGCAGGTGTGTGTGTGTGTGTGTGTGTGTGTGTGTGTGTTTACATATATATTTACACAACTTTATCTATTCTTTTACATGTATCTTTAATATAACAATTTGTTCATGTGCAGTCAAAAAAATAAGTCTATTTTCCTAGCAATGACTGTGGTTTGCCCTACAGAGGAATACTAACAATACTATGGCATGAACACATACCCACGCAGTTTTCTTACTCTTGCCTGACTGCACGCATATACGTAGCTTTCAGAACATGTCCACTGTTCTTTTGAGGTAGGACAGAAGAAATAAAAGATAGATAAAAAGGAGATAAAGAAATAATAATTTTAAAATTTGCACTTCTAAGAAAACTTTCATGACCCAAAGTCATGCAAGGGGATCATTAGCTGCAGTTCTTTGGTTGAAATTAGGCTCCTTTCCTTCTGGATTATCACATCTAAAACTTCTCAGGAATACTGAAAGGCCACAGATAGAGAACTAGATAGAATTCAAGGAGTATTTAAATGATCTATCTTAAACAAAACAAAACCGGGCTGTCATATGGACCAATACGCTAGGCACATTTTCCTGGGGTTTTCACCCCTTAAGAGAAGAATAAATGTTCTGCCATCCCAGAAAATGAGGTACACACTCTGAGTATGTATCTTTTAATTTCTGCCTCATAAGACCCTTACTGACTAGTCCTGAAAATTCTTTCCTGTGAGAGAAATTAGTGAACCTGCAAATTTATTCTATGCGTAGGGTGGGATAAGTTCCAGTCTCAGCTTCAGGAACGTCCCTGGGCCCTATCTCCTGATACTTCTAGTCTGTGTTTCTTTCATGACAAGCATATTGAATATATTAGCTCAAACCTGTGTAAGCATCCTTGTTTTAAGAATCTGAGGAAGTGAATAAAAACAAAAGCCTTTAAAAAAAATGTATTTTGTTGCTATAGGGTCTCACTATGCAGCTCAGACTCCTAGTGATCCTCATTTTTCAGCCTCCTCAGGGCTGGCATTACAGGCGTGTGCCACCACACCCAGACTCTATGGTGCGGCATGTGGTGCAGCGGATCGAACTGCATTCCCTGTGCTTGCCTAAGCTTGCCTAAGCAGGCGCTTTAGTCCACTGAGTTACCTTGCCAGCCAGAAAAACCCTTATGCTTTGAGGAGAAATTCGAGAAAGTAAAATATTTTTAAATAAACAAGAATATTGTAGGCCTGTGGTAACCCACGTTGCCCACATTTTGGAGCAAAGTTAAGAAAACAAAAGAAAGGAGAGCTTGTGCATCATAGCTATTTATGTCTAGTGGAATTGAAAAGTATTTGGGGGGCTGGGGAGATGGCTCAGTTGAATAAGTGCTTCCCTGGCAAGCGCAAGGGCCTGAGTTCAATCCCTGGTTCCGGAAAAAAAAAAAAAAAGGAAAGAAAGAAAAGTATTTGGAAGAGATTAAAGCTACTCTAAGGCTCAGTAATAGGGAGTGCAGTTGGGTAACATTTTATGACCTCACAGCTCAACAGAACCACACACACACACACACACAAACATATATACATATATATGCAGAAGAATAAAATGATATTTCTTTCTTGGGCCGGGGAGATAGTTCAGCGGCAAAAGAGTTAAATCCCCTGCTACTTGAAAAAAAAAAGAAAAAAAAAAAAGATTTCTATTTCTATTTGTGTTATGTCAGTTTTGAAGACAGAAAAACAGAACAATAAGGGACAGTAATCCACCTCAGGTGTCAGCATTTTCTTTCTTTTCCTCTTCTCTATAATTCAAAAACCCCAACACTTTACCATGTCCATTTCCAGCATGTCATATTTGGAGTATCTACTATGGAAAGTAATTAACTTATTTCTTTCTGAGTAAAATCTATAAGGAAAATATAAAATTTTATAAACAGAAGATAAAATGAACTAAATTAAAAGACAATCTCACCACCACAAAGTGGGGAAACATATGTTAATTAGTTCAATTGAGCCATTCTATAGTGTATATTCCCAAACATATACATGAAAATATATTCAATTTTCATTTACCAATTTAAAAAAACCCTTCTATTTTCAAAAACAAAATCTTTGTGGATATAAAAAGACATGACAAACTTTATTGTAATGATGAAAAAATTCTTAACATAATGTATAAATAGCTCTTAAAGAACCAAAAGGAAAAAAACCCCTACATATTAAACTAAGAAATGCACAAAGGATATTAAAAAGTTATCATAGGAAGAAACATAGACTAATCAAGACGAAACCACTTAATTTGTTTGTTTTGCAGAGCTGGGGATTGAACTCAGGCCCTTGTGCTTGCCAGGGAAGCCTTACTTTACTGAGCCATCTCCCCGGCAAAACCATTTAATTTCAATAAAACAGTGATGGTAAGGGTAGGAGAGATAGCTTGGCAGTCTAAGCACCTGCCTGGCAAGTGCAAAGACCCAGGTTTAATCCCAGGTACCGCATGCCATGCTGGCATCAAGCGCCGGGCACGCCGTGCTGGCCACCGAAACCTGCAGTCCCAGCGTTGGGGAGGCTGAGAGAGGAAGGGCACTACATTGGGTAGCAAGACCGCGTTCCAAATAAATAAATCAATAATAGTGGTGGTGAACCTATGACATGTATGTTACTGTTTTTTAAGAAAAAGATGTTAATGCAGAGCTATTTGTTCTAAACAAAAACTTCAATATTCAGGTTTAATTGCAGTGTTGGTACTTTTTAATAAATTAGTTTTGGGTTGTAGTTTGGCATTCAGTCTCTAAAATGTTCCCACTGCAATAAAAGAATACAGAACAAAATTAAGTAGTATCATTCTAACCTATTGTACTGGCAAAGTTATTTTTAAAAAAGATTTTTAAGAATGATTTCAGTAATTTTCCCTTGAAAAATTTATTTAAAGAAAATAAGACTAGAGAAAAAAGCATACATGCAAGTAAAGTTAGTACATATTTGTAGATTCATTACATATTACACAAAATACAAATGATTTAATACTAAATTTACTGAGATATCTTGAGATCAACACAAGCTACCTTTGACTTCCACAATTACAAGAGATGCTCGAAGTGTGGGCAGACATTCATTAGCATGGTGAACTGCTGTTTGGGCAGCCTTGGCCATTGAGATTGCTGCCAGTGCATTTTCAATTTCTTCTCTACGGGCCTGGAGAATAGTGGGTTCCTGTGATAATATCCCCGAGGGTCCCGCATACTCGAGTAACACCATCTGTTGAAAAAATTCTTGTGCTTTTCCCCTTGGGCTACTTCCCTACTGCGACAAGATCCATCTCCTTCTAGCCATCCTTTATTATTGTTTGTACTTTGCCTCTTTCAAATGAGATACCATACAGTATTGAAGATTGTGTATCTGATTAATTTCACTCAAAATTGTATTTTTCATGTTCCTACAAATGTCTCAGATCTGTATTCCGTAATATAAAGAAATCACAATTTCTTTATTCAATCAACAGTTGATGGGTATACAGGCTATTTCCATAGTTTAGCCATCAGGAGTTGCCAAGATACTTAAATCTTACCTTTGAAAAGGCCCTAAAGCTGTCATTAAATATCTGTTTTGGGGCCAGGGAGGTGGCTCAGTGGAATAAGTGCTTCCCTGGCAAGCGCAAGGGCCTGAGTTTAATCCCCGGTTCCTAAAAAAAAAAAAAAAATAATAATAATAAAATCTGTTTTGATCTCAACCATGCAAAATGAATGTACAATTAGCATACCTTATGCACGTACTTTATTCTACTTTGTATATTAGTATGACCCAAGAATTTCAAAAGTTTCTAGGCCTGTGGGTCAGACAGAAAACGGTTCTGACTGAGGAGCTGGGGTTAAAACCATGAACTGTTCTGATTGAGGAGCTGGGGTTAAAACCACGAACTGAACAAGCTTTACAAGCCCGTGCAATGGCTAAGGGCCTCGGCACGCCATTTCCGCACGCACAGGCTCCCATGCAAGCTGACAGCAGCGCTAAGATTCCTTCTGGCATCTGCAGCCAATGGTAACGCTTCTGCAAGGCCTAGCAATTCCCGGCCAATGGCGGAGGTCTATCTTTTGAACCGCCACTGTAGCATCTCAGCCAATCAGAAACGTTCTTTAAATGCATTGAGGTGCCCACGCCGGGGAAGGCGGCTTCACTTCCGGGTCCCTGTCCCGGGTGGCTACGACTGTTGCCATAGCGACCATTTTACGTTAACTGGTTTGTAGTTTATCCAGGTGGCTGCACGACACCGGGGCAACCCTTTCCCACTCCCTCTCGGTTCTTTGCGGCCAAGAGGTTATAGCAAGTTCTGGGAAACTGGCCCCGGGAACTGCGTAGCCCCGTGGGGGCGGGATGGCCGCGGAAGAAGAGGACGAGGTGGAATGGGTGGTGGAAAGCATCGCGGGGTTCCTCCGAGGTCCTGACTGGTACATCCCCATCCTGGACTTTGTGGAGCAGAAATGTGAAGGTAAAAACCAGAGTCTAAACTGGTGATCCCTGCTGCCTCCCTTACACCAGCCGTGCTCGGGAGGGAGGTCGCCAGAAACCATCTCTTGTCTTCTCCATCTCCATCCCTGTGGGCCAGGGTTAGAGCTAGTTATTGCAGGAAGAATCGTATGCACGCCACAGACGGCCCCCTTCGCAGATCTGGAATTAGAAAGCCCCCCCCCCCCCCACCCCGGGCTTCAAGGACCTAAAATTTTAGGCTTTAGCCCCGTGTTCGTTCTTTCACGCTCTCACACACATTATTGTCCTTGGCGGGCAGGTGGACTGTTGCTCTTTACCTCTTCGGCAGCTTGCTCAGCCACTTGGGAGGAGAAATGCCAGTTTGCCTCTTGAGTTCCTTCTGACTTTCAGCGTTTCACCCTGTGGAGTCAGTCTAGAAAATGAACAATGATTTACCCCTATCGACGTTGTCGTACAGAGAAGGGAGCTGTAACTACTGCCGCGGGCCCGGGGCTGGTAGTCTATGGCCCGTATCCCTCTGGTGGAGCCTCTCTCTCTCAGCTGTGCCATCAGTGGGGGCTGGGTGCGACTCCTTACAACAGACGGGGCTGACCGATGTGCTATAATGGACCCTTTGAGGGAGGACCCCAGCTTAACAGTTCACATTGAATTCAGTTTTTGCAGACAAATTGGCCCCACTCACAGAAAAGGAACCAGAAACTCATATGAAGCAGTGTCCTGTCATTATCTTGTTTATTTACTGGACAAGACTTGGAGGGTACTAATATCCCCAATCATTTGAACGTCTCTACGCTGGAAGGATTAGATTTGTTTTTAAGGATCAGTGGGATGGAGCTGGGGTCAGTGGGTGCAAGCTGAAGGGAATGAAGGCCAGGATGAGTGGCCTGACTGAAAAGGTAATGTGGCCCTCAGTCACTAGCGACTTTTGAATGGCTCTGCAGTGATTTAATCGAGAGAGTAGGGGAGATTCAGCTATCAAGTGGTTTGTTATCCTGGATAATCTTAGAATAATGGTTTATGGATAAATGATTCCATGCACTCAATAAAAGCAAAATTGCATTTAACCATTGAATTCTTTTTTGAGTTTGGGGCATGTCTCTCTTCCTTGCCCAGGGAACTTCCTGATCCTCCCACCCCTGCCTCACCAGTAGCTGGGATTACAGGCATGCACCCCCACACCTGGCTTGGATCTTTATTACAGTCTCATTATAAGCTAGTAGTTACTAAGTGCTGTTTTTACAGGTAATTTTAAAGGAGATTCAAAAACAAACCTTTTACTTGTATTCCTTTAAAGATTTAAAATACTTGAGACTAATAACACATGTAGAATTCTGATTTTTTAATTTTTATTTAGTTTTTTAGACTAGGAAAATTCTTTGGAGAAAAGGAATGGAGAATAGGAATAACTCCTGAGAGACAGGAGGGGTCCCTTCTGAGACTAAATGCTGAAATAAATATAAGCAAGCAAGCTCATCTTTTTTATCCCACAAAGGCAAAAGTGGGTGCCTTTCAGTACTGACTTACCTGATTGTATAATTTTATAGAGAAGCAAATTCTCAGCTGTATATATATATGTACTACAATAATTTTATTTTATTTTTTGTATTTTAGGGAAGGGTCTACAGTATGTTCAGGGCTCACTACTAGATTGGACTCGAAGTGATCCTGCAGTTTATAGGCCTCCCAAGAGCTGGGATTTTAGGCGCGCACCGCCATGCCCAGTCTCAGTTGCTGTCTCAGCACGCCCCTGGGTTGGGGCCTGCACACCAGGCCTAGGGACTGAACCCCTGGCTCCTGCGCCTTCTTGCAGGGGCTTTAATCCGCTGAGCTATTTGGCTGGCCCTAATAATTTGATTTTAGAACTAACCAGAAACAACTTAAAGTAGCTAACAAATGATTGTGAGGTGTTACATAAAATCGATACAGGATAAATTGAAGTAACATGCCAGTGAACTTGAAACAACTTTTTATATTTCACAGCCTTGGGCTGGTCAGTATGCTATACCTGTATTAGACAATTTAAAGATTAATTTTATACACTTTGTGGCATCAACATTTTCTTCAACAAATATTTAGTGTCCTTGAATAACAAAATCCTGTGCTTAAAAAAATTGATAGGGAGGGCTGGTGGTACAGCTTAGCAGAGTAAGTGCTTGCTTAGATAAGTGCAGAGGCCAGGGTTCGATCCCTGGCACTGCATGCCATGCTGGCCCACCCCTGGGCGAGCTGAGCCTGCGATGGAGTCTGGCTGTGGTGGCACACACCCGTAATCCCAGCACTGGGGATGCAGAAATCAGGAGGATCACTATGAGTCTGACCTGCGTAGTGAAACCCTGCATAAAACAGACAAGCAAAAAAACTTAAAAATTTATAGGGGAAAACAAGCAGGTAAACCATAAAATAGAAAGAATCGAATGGTATAATAGTGGTAGGCACAGGATGTTTTGTGTTACTAGTCTAGTCAGCCTAGAGTTGGGAGCAAGTAGCAGGTCGTGGAGAATGTGACACTTGGCAGTGTCGTGAAGAAGGGTGGGGAGAAAGGGGACATGGGGTAGAGTACAGGCAGAAAACCAAGGACGGGCTTGAGCACAAGTAAGGGGGTTTGAACCTTCACTTTCGAGCTATTCTAAGTGGTTGTGTATTGTTAGGGTGGCAGATTAGGATTTTGGAGTGGTGGGAGATGAGACTGGGATCTGATCTTGTAGAATCCTATTTGGCCTAAGGATTTTGTACTTACTCTCTAGACAAAGCATTTGTTTCATTTTAAACTGAAAGTTATAGAAGTTAGTTTTCCATTTTAGGAAGATAGTTCTGGGAGAACGAGAAATGTTCATGGCTTATAATTTGTGAATATGTCTTGCCCTATCAGATTGTGGCTCTCTGCCCTCGGTACTGAGGGTTGGACACCAGGACCTTTGGATTAAGCCCTATCTCAAGTCCTTTTTATTTTGAAGCAGGGTCTCATTAAGTTACTCAGTCTGGCTTTGAATACTGTGATCCTTGCTCCTGAACCTCTCAGAGGACTATAATTTTACAGGCATATGCTACTACTATGTCCAGCAGATTGTAGCTTCTTGAAGGAATATCTGTATCTTCTGTGGGGGAACATAGGTATCTTTTAAAACCTACCCCTTTCCACATACTGTTTATGGTAACAAAATAACCTGATCACTTTCAGTAAAATTTGCATCAGCCAAGTTCCAGTACAATAAAATAATCTAAGGAATGTTATAAAAGGGTTTATTTATTTATTTTTGTGGCCGGCTCAGCCCTCCCTCCCTGGGGGCAGGGCTGTAGCAACATGTGGTGCCTTTGATCTCAAACCTTGGTTCCTGCGCTTGCCTAAGCAGGCGCTTTAGAGCACTGAGCTGTCTTGCCTTGCTGGCCCAGGATTTAACATATTAATTCATTAAAAGCATATGAAGAAATTATTGCTTTATATTATTAATTAAAGAATAACAAAGGGCCGGAGAGATGGCTCAGTAGGCAAGCGCAAGGGCCTGAGTTCAATCCCCAGTTCAGCCAAAAAAAAAAGAATAACAAATTGTTCTTTCTGTTAAGTATGAGATAGTTTTGTTTAGAATATTTTTAAAGAGAAGGAAAAACTTGTTTACAATTAATAATTTATATATTTATGTGCATATTTTTAAAGAAAAATAATTCAAAAATTGAAGAGGTAGGTAATCAAAATGATAGTTCTCTTTGTAAACAGTTTTTGTGTTAATGATTTTGTGAACTTATTTTTTTAATAGTGTCATATTTTTCTTATAAATTTAGTTTTTGATGATGAAGAAGAAAGCAAATTGACCTATACAGAGATTCACCAGGAATATAAAGAACTAGTGAGTATTTTTTTTTTTTTTACTGATTTTTTAAAAGGTAATTGGGATATAAATACTTGTTGCTTGTCTATATATAAAAAAATGGATTTTGTTTCATTCAAATTGTTTAATTTTATAAATATCTAGGCTAGTCAAATATTACTAGTTTATCAGACTCCACAAATTCTCTGAGCATCTCATTTTTTGTATTTCTTCTACCCTAGAATCTAAAGAATGGTTTTAACATAGTTGTGGAGATCTTATATCTGGTTTTGAAGTTGCATTTTTACGTGGCCTCCAGAAAATGGGTAATTTTTCACTATATTATGGTCAACTAGTAAATTTTTTAAAAATACACATGGTTTTAGAAGAGTTTTGCCACATTGACTTTCATAGTCTTGACTGTTTGTAGTAGATGAAAGAAAATTTCATGTGACTATCTGTAAAGCAAGCAACCAAGCAAAATATCTTCTCATTTGTTTTCAGTTAAAGATGCTATTACTTGTATGTAATATAATATTATGTTGGTTAATGTTTGCAAAAATATATTGGTTTACTTTTCTCAATCAATTCGTAAAAAAAACTATTCATCTAGAATTTTTCTGTGAAAATTGTCTAAATCAAACCTTTTCCTTTTAGGTTGAAAAATTGTTAGAAGGTTACCTCAAAGAAATTGGAATTAACGAAGATCAGTTTCAGGAAGCGTGCACTTCTCCTCTTGCAAAGACTCGAACATCACAGGTTTTCGCTTTTGTGTTATGAGAAAGTAGTTATAACAAAATTTGCTGGAGTTTCACTTAAATATAGGATGTTTGTGAAAGCATAATATTGTAGATGCTTGAGAAGTGGAAAAATAATTATATGCAGGGTCTTCTTGACAGATGATAACTGATAAGTTCATTAACTCATCTGAGGCATTAATACAATTAAAAATGAACTTTCAGAAGTGTATTAAGATTGTAGGGTTTATTGAAATTGCTTGTTTTATTTATATAGATCTCTGATAATCCTGTAGCGGCCTTTAGCAGATCCACACTTCCTAGTCTTGAGACTTCTCTTGAAACCTGTGTATTGCCCCACTAGTTCTTCCGTGCTGGAGAAAATAATATGTATATGTGTAATTTATGTTTATTGAGAGCTTATGCTACTTGATGTTTTATACCCTGGTATGTGTTATCCTATTTAATCATTATGATACCTCCTAAGAAACGGGTACCGTTGAGCTTCCATCTATAAATGAGGAAAGTAAAGCAGACTTACTAAGCAGCAGCACTGACGCACCAACCTGGGCAATCTAACTGAGGGCTTTGCTCAGGGTGTGAGGGTAGGAATATGTTGCTTCTACACAACTACTCTTTTTAAAAATTTGTCTGGCTCCTGTCCTCTACCAACTAAAGTGTAATTCCTTAGCAAGATGATAGTGAGGATTGTGATGTAACCCCAAATTCTGTTTTCAGTCCGATTTATGTCCTCATTCTTTTTTTTGTTTGTTTGTTTTGGTTGTCTTTTTGAGACAGGGTTTCACTATGCAGTTCAAGGTGGCCTTGAACTCACTTTGTAGCCCAGGCTTGCCAAGAACTTGCAGTGATCCTCCTGCCTCAGCCTCCCAAGTGCTGGCATTGTCGGTGTGTGCCACCACGCCCACCTGGGCCACTCATTCTTACAAGTATTTATATGCTCAGCTTTGCTTATGCTGCCTTTTAACCTAGAGTAGTGATGGTGACCCCCTGGTGTGTGTGCCCCAGCAGGCTGTTTGTACCATTGACAGCTCTAAAGGGGTCACTATCAGTGATCTAGCATGTGTGGCCTTTTCACTAAACCACTATCATCCCTCCTTTAACTCAAAAAATTCCCGTTCTTCAGGACCTGGCTGAAATGCTGCTCCTTAGGGCAGCTTGGCTGCTACCTCCAGACCAACTGGAGCTCAGCGAAACTCACTAAGTACTTTTTACCTAGAAATATTTGGTACTGTGCTTTGAATTATGGCTTCATGCAAGTCCTTTTGCCTCATTAGACTGTAGGTACTTTGAGCTATTTTTGGTATGTTTCATTACTAGCTACTACTACCTTAGCGATAAGAGCTTCGTGACTGATCAGTAGTATTTGTCAACTGTGACCTTGAAGAGGTCACTTTGACTACTGTTTAGGGCAGCACTTTCTCATATACTTCCTCTTTGCACACCTTTCTTATTTAATAGCCATCTCTAAACTTAGAGATGAAAGTCTTTAACATGATATTAAAAATTAAATGTTATTGGGGTATCCAACTAATGTCAACACTTTATTAGCTAAAAGGTACATGAAGCAAACATTTCACAGTTCACTAATAGCTTTATTAGCCTAAGGAGTAATAAAAGGGATATTTTTCTTCTTTTTAGTGGAATGGGAATAATTTGATTGAAAATTACAGATAAACCTCAATTAGTATGGATTTATGTCCTGATGAACCCATTATATTGAAAGACAAAAATGCATTTTGTGCATTTAATGTACCCAGTGTCAGACTCTAGCAACATGGGTACTGTAGAGTATTGTTTCTTCCGCTGTGATAGGCTAGGAGCCGTGGCTTGCTGCAGCTGCAAGAGAGTACGGTGTGGCATACTGGTGGCCTAAGAAAAGATCAAAATTCAAAAATCTGAGTATGGTTTCTAGTTAATGTGTATTGTTTTTGTATTATTATAAAGTGGAAAGATCATAAGCTGGGTCCCATCTGTGATAATAAATATAATTATCTTTTGTTTGTTTTTCCTAAATTATTTGTGAACATAGATGTTTGGAACTTTAAAATGTTGTTTTCAGATTAAGCTCAACAAACTACTATAAAAGTTAAAAAAAAATAAGATTAACGTGCTACTACCCACATCCTTTCATTCTGCCATACACATTTTAATTTGCTTGGAGTTGGATGGTAATAGTCTTGTTATCTAGAAGGAAGCAAGCCTTTAGAGAAAGACTTACCTTGGACCTTTTGTTTACTAGCTGTAACATGTTGAACAAAAGGTTTTATTTTGATAGTTTTACCTTCTTAATCTTTGTTTTTCAGTTTTCACATTTATATATAAGGATAATATCTACTTCTTCTCTCGCTCCTTTTTTTTGCGGTAATGGGGATTGAACTCAGGACCTTGCGCTAGCCAGGCAGGTGCTTGTTCTACTGAGCTATCTCCCCAACCCAGGATAGTACCTACTTCTAATGGTTTTTGTGAAGGTTAAGAGATAATGTTGTAAACCGATGTCACGGCTGCATCTAACTGTCTCCCAAAGCCTCATGTGGTCGTTGGTGGGGCATTTTCAGGGGTGGCTGGATCTAGAATAGGTGACACTGGAATTGAGTCATGGTGCAATGCAAGGATCAGGGGCCCTAAGATTAAGGGTGTGAGTGCTACCGTCCTCAGTGGCCTGGGATAAAATGTAAGGGGCAGAAGGGGTCATGGCTGTCCCCTTACTGCTTTGCCACTGCACAATGTTTTTCTTTTGCCACACCATCTTGGACTTGTGGCTGCATCACACAGCCTAGCTGATTATAAGCAGAAACTTCTATAAAATATGAACAAAATAAATCTTTTCTCCTTTAACTTTTGGTTTCATGTGTTTTGTCTCAACGATGAGAAAAGTAACTAAGACAGCCTTTAGCATAATACCTAGTGTATACCTAGTGTACTATGCAATATCAGGTAGTCTGTAAATAAATTAGGGGCCTTGTTGTTTGATTGTCACTGTAGTGATTAGGTCAGATCTTTGGTTCAGTTTCCATGTGGAGTAGTTAGTTAGCATTATGTTCTACGAGAACAAACTCTTAGTCACTAGAAACCAAATGCCAACATTAAATCCTCGCCAGGCCATCATCTGAAAAATAGCTTAAACATTGTTTATTGCCTTGTCTCTAGTTAATCTTTATCATGAAAATCAATGTTGGTTTCATTATACCAACAAGGAATTTCTAAGAATGAACTCAAGAAAAAGGTTGCTTACCATAAGTAATTTAGGAGGTAATTTTTTGGTATTAACTTGTTTTGATTTTCTAAGCCAGCTATTAGCTCTTATGAAATTGTGCTATGAAAGCAGACTTGTAAATTCTTTTCACCTTGCTTAGTCAGACCTAGACCAGTGGTGACAAACCTATGTCACGCTTGTCACACCGGTCTGTCTGTGCCACCAAAAACTCTGCAGGGTGCTATCGCTGACATAGCCCAGTGACTGTGGCATGTTCTTTGTGTATTTGAGCCAGCAAGAGGGGCAAGGACAAGTGTTCCAACTGAAAAGGCACATGGACAAAAAGTCCTTCCTGGTTTTTAACAGCATAGTTTTCTGTTGTTTATCTGTGAATTCTAAAGGAAATCCATGGATTAAAATACTTACCTACCAATTTAGAAAAGAATGGCAGTTGAATCCCCCTGAAGTTATTCTCCTTTACTTCAAACACACATATCGCATCACTCTTGCCAGTTTCTGAAGTGGTTCCAGCAGTCCTCTTACGGGAGCATTTTCAGTTGTGATGTTGTGGCTGCTTTGCTGTTCTGAACAATTCAGAATGATTATA